AGCCGCCACGCTTATCCGGTGCCAGGCGAAGAGGTGCAGCCGCCACGCTTATCCTTAACCAGAATGAGGCGCAGCCGCCACGCTTATCCTCAACCAGAATAGGGGCCAGGGGGTACAGCCGCCACGCTTATCCGGTGCCAGGCGAAGAGGTGCAGCCGCCACGCTTATCCTCAACCAGAATGACGCTTATCCGGTGCCAGGCGAAGAGGTGCAGCCGCCACGCTTATCCTCAACCAGAATGGGGGCCAGGGGGAAGAGGCGCAGCCGCCACGCTTATCCTCAACCAGAATAGGGGCCAGGGGGTACAGCCGCCACGCTTATCCGGTGCCAGGCAAAGAGGTGCAGCCGCCACGCTTATCCTCAACCAGAATGCTTATCCTCAACCAGAATAGGGGCCAGGGGGTGCAGCCGCCACGCTTATCCGGTGCCAGGCGTAGAGGTGCAGCCGCCACGCTTATCCTCAACCAGAATGAGGGCCAGGGGGAAGAGGCGCAGCCGCCACGCTTATCCTCAACCAGAATAGGGCCGGCCAGGAGGCGCAGCCGCCACGCTTATCCTCAACCAGAATAGGGGCCAGGGTGTACAGCTGCCACGCTTATCCGGCGCCAGGCGAAGAGGTGCAGCCGCCACGTTTATCCTCAACCAGAATGGGGGCCAGGGGGAAGAGGCGCAGCCGCCACGCTTATCCTCGACCAGAATAGCAGCCGCCACGCTTATCCGGTGCCAGGCGAAGAGGTGCAGCCGCCACGCTTATCCTCAACCAGAATGGGGGACAGGGGGAAGAGGCGCAGCCGCCACGCTTATCCTCAACCAGAATAGGGACCAGGGGGTACAGCCGCCACGCTTATCCGGTGCCAGGCGAAGAGGTGCAGCCGCCACGTTTATCCTCAACCAGAATGGGGGCCAGGGGGAAGAGGCGCAGCCGCCACGCTTATCCAGAATAGGGGCTAGGGGGTACAGCCGCCACGCTTATCCGGCGCCAGGTGAAGAGGTGCAGCCGCCACGCTTATCCTCAACCAGAATGGGGGCCAGGGGGGAAGAGGCGCAGCCGCCACGCTTATCCTCAACCAGAATAGGGGCCAGGGGGTACAGCCGCCACGCTTATCCGGTGCCAGGCGAAGAGGTGCAGCCGCCACGCTTATCCTCAACCAGAATGGGGGCCAGGGGGACGAGGCGCAGCCGCCACGCTTATCCTCAACCAGAATAGGGGCCAGGGGGTACAGCCGCCACGCTTAGCCGGTGCCAGGCGAAGAGAGGTGCAGCCGCCACGCTTATCCTCAACCAGAATGGGGGCCAGGGGGAAGAGGCGCAGCCGCCACGCTTATCCTCAACCAGAATAGGGGCCAGGGGGTACAGCCGCCACGCTTATCCGGTGCCAGGCGAAGAGGTGCAGCCGCCACGCTTATCCTCAACCAGAATGGGGGCCAGGGGGAAGAGGCGCAGCCGCCACGCTTATCCTCAACCAGAATAGGGGCCAGGGGGTACAGCCGCCACGCTTATCCGGTGCCAGGCGATGAGGTGCAGCCGCCACGCTTATCCTCAACCAGAATGGGGCCAGGGGGAAGAGGCGCAGCCGCCACGCTTATCCTCAACCAGGGGGCCAGGGGCAGCCGCCACGCTTATCCGGTGCCAGGCGAAGAGGTGCAGCCGCCACGCTTATCCTCAACCAGAATGGGGGCCAGGGGGAAGAGGCGCAGCCGCCACGCTTATCCTCAACCAGAATAGGGGCCAGGGGGTACAGCCGCCACGCTTATCCGGTGCCAGGCGAAGAGGTGCAGCCGCCACGCTTATCCTCAACCAGAATGGGGGCCAGGGGGAAGAGGCGCAGCCGCCACGCTTATCCTCAACCAGAAGAGGGGCCAGAGGGTACAGCCGCCACGCTTATCCGGTGCCAGGCAAAGAGGTGCAGCGTCCACGCTTATCCTCAACCAGAATGGGGGCCAGGGGGAAGAGGCGCAGCCGCCACGCTTATCCTCAACCTGGGGGTCGGGAGGTGCAGCCGCGACGCTTATCCTCAACCTGAATGGGCGGCGGGAGGTGCAGCTGCCACGCTTATCCTCAACCTGGGGGTCGGGAGGTGCAGCCGCGACGCTTATCCTCAACCTGAATGGGCGGCGGGAGGTGCAGCTGCCACGCTTATCCTCAACCTGAATGGGGGTTGGGCGCTTACCCTGAATCGGAGGTCGGGAAGCGCAGCCGCCAGGCTTATCCTCAACCTGAATGGGCGTCGGGAGGTGCAGCAGTGCAGCTGCCACGCTTACCCTGAACGGGAGTCGGGAAGCGCAGACGTCACGCTTATCCTCGACCTGAATGGGGCACAGCCCGAAGAAGACGGAGGCGCGGACGAGGCCGGAGCGTTTATCCTCAACCAAGATGGGATTCCAGGTGCGTGGTCTCACAGCCCGAAGAAGACGGAGGCAGGGACGAGGCCGGAGCGTTTATCCTCAACCAAGATGGGGTTCCAGGTGCGTGGTCTCACAGCCCGAAGAAGACGGAGTCGGGGACGAGGCCGGAGCACTTATCCTCAACCAAGATGGGGTCCCAGGTGCGTGGTCTCACAGCCCGAAGAAGACGGAGGCGCGGACGAGGCCGGAGCGTTTATTCTCAACCAAGATGGGGTTCCAGGTGCGTGGTCTCACAGCCCGAAGAAGACGGAGGCGGGGACGAGGCCGGAGCACTTATCCTCAACCAAGATGGAGTTCCAGGTGCGTGGTCTCACAGCCCGAAGAAGACGGAGTCGGGGACGAGGCCGGAGCACTTATCCTCAACCAAGATGGGGTCCCAGGTGCGTGGTCCACAGCCCGAAGAAGACGGAGGCGGGGATGAGGCCGGAGCGTTTATCCTCAACCAAGATGGAAGTGATTCGCTTATCCCCAACCAATATATATGGGGTTTCAGGTGCTCAGTCTCAAGCTGAACGAAGCTGGAGGCGGGGACCGGGACGAGGCCCGAGGGCTCGCATGCACAAGTGATTCGTTTATCCTCAACCAATATGGGGTCTCAGTTGCTCAGTCTCAAGCTGAACGAAGCTGGAGGCGGGGACGGGAGGGCTCGCATGAACAAGTGATTTGTTTATCCTCAACCAATATGGGGTCTCAGGTGTTCAGTCTCAAGCTGAACGAAGCTGGAGGCCGCCACGCTGATCCTCAAGTAGAAGGGGGGCGGGGGCGCCCATCCCCACCGCCACTGTTCCCGAGGTCGGCATGTCTGAGGACGTGGGCGATGAAGGCCCAATTCCTGCACATACCGTGTTGAGCTGTGGCAGAAGGCCAAAACGGGCGTGCATGTCCAGCCGTTCTTGGATTCAGAGTCGTTGCCAGCAGCTAGCCTTGTGAAAGTGCACAGCGCAGCATCCTGTGGCAGCACATCCTTCAACGCCGCCACCATAGCATACTAAGCCTCAAACTGCTATCTAGCATCAAGAGATATCACTGGCCTGTGGCCCGGTGCGAGCCTCAGATATGGAAGCCTCCGCCAGTGTCGTCGCAGGTGGTCTTTGATAGCGTTGCAGCGGCCCGTGCTTCCCAGGTCAACTGGCACGACAATGATGTCCGACGACATGAACGAAGACTTCCAGAGCACAGACCATTCGATTCGCGACTCCGACCAGGTGGACCGCGAGGACGGGTTCGATGACTGGGACTGGGTCGAACAGGAGATGCAGCGTGAGGCCGAGGAAGATGCACCTGAGAGAGCAGCATGGGACAAAGAAATGGACATCCAGAAAGCATACAACAAACGTCTGGCGAACATGACGGTGAAGTACATGAATATGAAGGGTGATGAGGTTCACGCCTCAAGGCCCTACCCGTGCTGCCAGCTTGAATGCGGCTCGTTCCGTGAAGCTTGGCTGACCACTTTACACGACGGAAACAACCCGGATCGATTTCTCTCCCTGTGCCAGCTACGTGAAAGACGGCAGAAGTCCAACAAGCCTTTGCCTGCAGAAATACTACAGCATCGCAGCCCCAGAGAAGTCCTGCTTCACGACCTGGACAGCAGTCGCATTGGACCGATCTGCCTGGATGCCACGAAACTGGCGTTGGGTGGGGATGTGATCACGGATGCCTGGAGTTGGGATGAGCTCTTGGATCGCAGCTTGAGCGATGGCACCGTGCATGTGCACGTGGTCTTCAATTCCGAGCAGTCCAACGGCCGACAGTCCTAGAGCTCCAAATCTGAGCCGCACGGAGAGAGAATACGAAATGTGCCCCAGGACTGCAGCAAAATGAAAGGGTCAGAGCCACCTGAACCTGAACATGGTCTCTTTGAGCTTCTGCATGTTGTGCAAGGTTGCTGCAGCCAGGTGAAAGGGTCAAACCCGCCCGAACATTACTTTCTTGAGCATGTTGTGCAAAATTGAATTCCTGCCTTGCGCGTGCTGAGGCTTGGGCAACCCCGCAGCTTTTCGGCAGTCAGCCCCAGCTGAACTAAACCAATTCGGTAGACTCGTCCTCGCCATGGCCCCCTGCCAGCGATGCGGCTTTGGAATCAGAAGCGGCAGAGGCAGCGGATGGTGCAGCAATGTCGAGTGCCGAGAAGCAGAGAGAGCGGAGAAGAAAGCTCGCATTGAGCAAGAACGGGCTGCAAAAGGAGCAGGCAGGCGAGGGCCCTTGCCCAACGAGAGCAGCAACAAAGCAGAACGGCGACAGCTGCATGAGGCAAGAGCACACGCAACGGAGGAAGGAGCCGGCGGCCGAGGTCCTTTGCCCGACGAGAACAGCAACAAAGAAGAACGGCGACAGCTGCATGAGGCAAGAGCACACGCAACCGAGGAAGGAGCGGGTCGCCGAGGTCCTTTGCCCGACGAGTACAGCAACAAAGCAGGACGGCGACAGCTGCATGAGGCAAGAGCACACGCAACGGAGGAAGGAGCCGGCGGCCGAGGTCCTTTGCCCGACGAGAACAGCAAAGAAGCACAGCGGCGACAGCTGCATGAAGCAAGAGCACAGGCAACGGAGGAAGGAGCCGGCGGCCGAGGTCCTTTGCCCGACGAGTACAGCAACAAAGCAGAACGGCGACAGCTGCATGAGGCAAGAGCACACGCAACGGAGGAAGGATCCGGCGGCCGAGGTCCTTTGCCCGACGAGAACAGCAACAAAGAAGAACGGCGACAGCTGCATGAAGCAAGAGCACAGGCAACGGAGGAAGGAGCCGGCGGCCGAGGTCCTTTGCCCATCGCCTCGGAGATTCAACAGCAAGGCTACCCTTTCCCGGACGAAGACTCTTTAACCCCGGAGCAAGCACAGGCACAGTACTTGGCTTTTGCACGGAGCTGGAGTAGATTCGGCCTTTCCCGCGTGTGCGAGAAGTGCCAGACCTTGACACCAGCGAGGCACTGCAAGAGAGCCAGAAACACCGAGCGGCTACTGTGCAGAAACTGTCGCGAGAATCGCACAAAGATGGTCTTGCCAACGCCGGACCCCATCCCAGAAGCGTTGCAACGACTGCGACCCATCGAGCAGCATCTCCTCGCCATGGCCCGCATCTCGCAGGTCCTGCTGGACAAGCTCCCATCAGGGGGCCCCAGCGCACAATGGGGCCGCATGTACGCCGTTCTCATGCAAGAACCCTTCATCTGCGGAGTCCTCGAAGGTGCAAGCTTGGAGGAAGACGGGACAGTGTTGGTCGAGGGCGTCGGCGGCGTCACCGCATCTCCAGCACGTTTGGAGTTTCTCCACGCGGCCTTGCAAGATTTGAGACGTCATCACCGCCTCTATCAACAGTGCCCGGCCGTCGAGACAGCCTTGGCACGAATGGCTGCCATCCTGGCCAACAAAGCTCCCGCTGCCTCAGCTACAAAGCCAACAGACCCACCTCCAGCCGCACAAGCAGAAGAAGAAGAGGAAGTTGAAGTGACGTACCTTTTGCCGAAACAGTTCCAGGCTCCGAAGGCCGACGTCCACGACTTGCGAAAGGCCCGAGGATCTGCCGACCTCAGCGACGACTTGGATGCGAAGTTCTTCCCGCACCTGTTTCCCTCCGGCTTTGGAGGCTGGCAGAACGAGTACGGTGGCTTCGCCCAATATGCACGGAGGCGTCTGCTGAGCGCGGATGGCCGCTTTGAAGGATCCACGGGCTACATCATGTGGCTCCTAGAGATGAAGACCAAGAAGCGCCTCTCCGGAAATATCAACGTCCGCATCAGCAACCAACGGACACCCCGCAGCAAGAGTGAATACGAGAACGGCAGCCGTCGGGTATATGCAGCCTTGCGGGACATTCCTGGCACGCAGCCTTACCTGTACGCCAAGAAAGGGGTGGCCCTGAACATGTATGAGCAGCTTGGCATTCCCAGCTTCTTCATGACGCTCTCCTGCCACGCGCGGCAACCTGCCATGCTCCTCGCGGCTATCTCCGGGCGGCTGCTGCGGCTGCATCCCGAACGGCCGCAAGGAGAGTTGGAGCACCACGCTGCCGAGATCCTGCACCTCTACCAGAACGACAAGAACTTCAAGTGGGATGGGCTCTCGCCCAACCAGCTGTGCAACCAGCAGCCGGCGGTGGTAGCCCGACAGTTCATGCACCAGCTGTCCCAGCTGATGTGGTGGCTGCAGTCCGGCACACGTGCACGAAAGTTCCATTTAGACGAAGACGGTGACCCGCAAGATGAGGTCAAGGAGAGCGACGGCGAGGACATGGAAGACGATGCCCAGGCCCCGGCCCCGGACTCCGCAGGCCTGCACCACCGCATGCACAGGCAAAGGCCGCCTTTCAAAGTTTTGGATTACATCATTCGCATAGAATGGCAAAAGAGGGGCTACCCCCACGCTCACATATTGCTTTGGATCGAAGAGTGGGCGAAAGCCAAGAAGCAGTCAGATGAGCCGGCGCCCGACAACGGCGAGGCCACGGTCCCAGACTGGTCGGACGAGGAAGCCATGGAGAGTTTCATTCCAAAGTCTGCGGAAGATCTCAGCGACAAGCACATTACCACCAAGTCTCCGAACTCGTGGCGCCAATCCCAGCGTGTAGCAGCCCGAGATAGAGAGGTGAACGCAAAGCTCGCCGCAGAAGTGGTGCACAACCACACGCCATATTGCGGCATGTACACACAAGGCAGTTGTCGATCTGGGTTTCCACACGACCCGGAGCCGCGGACCCGACGGCGAACGTCTCAGGAGCAGTACGCCAAAAGCCGCTGGAAAAGCAGCCTTGCCGTGAGAAGAGTCAAGGGGGACAGCATGATGGGCCAGTACAACATACGAATACTGAGGAGGTGGAGGGCAAGCATGGACTTGCAGGTCATTTGCGAACTCACAAGCGCCAGCCGCTACATATTGGGCTACACTTTCAAATCGGAGGAGGATCGCGACGCGCAGCGCCGCATGGAGAACATCCTGGCCGACCTGACGTCCAGCGCTGCGGGCGAGGGCCTGGACAATCAGAAGGTCTACAAAGCAGCGCACGCAGCGTTGCAAGGCAGGACCACTTCCACCTTCGAGGCATGCCACCTCCTACTGGGTTACCCGATCATCGAGTTCTCCAGAGACAACGTTTGGGTGCAAGTAGGACCTCCGGACACCTGGACCGTGTGGGTGCCAAAGCACGAGGAGAAAGTGGCCTTGAAGCAGCCTGACCATTACCACAGCAAGAAGGTCCACCGAAGCGGGGACCTGCCTGCCGCTCATCACTGGTACCGTGAAATGCAGACGAGATTCGGCGACCAAGAAACAGCCTTGCCGGTGGAAGGTGGCGAACCGATTTCCTGTCGGTTCATGGACGTCACCTTCCTGGACTTTTGTGCGGCTTTCAGGTTCATAGGCGTCCAAGAGCCACAACCTCGCAAGAAGCCTGCGATCGTTGGCTACCAGAACTTCAACCCGGACGAGGAGTCGGAAGCCTTCTACTACTCCAAGTTGCTGCTGCATCTAGTCTGGAAGGAGCCAGGTGACTGGCTGGTGGAGCAAGACGCGGGAAGCCACGCGGCAGCATTCCATCGCGTCGCCCGAGACGTGAACGGCCACCCGGATTTCCTTCGGTCCAAATGCTTCCCTCAGCTGGACGGGACAGTGAACGCCGCTCGACAGCTGCAGGCCGTGCAGGCCACAATGTATATGAAGGCAC